GTGCTGAGCGGCTTCGTGGGCTCGGATGGGGGCGCAGATGCTGAAGCAAATTCGCCAGGTGTATCTGCATTTCGACATGGAGTCCCTCGATGCTCGTCTGGGCGTCCGCCGGGGGCATTCGACAGTGAACCAGGTAGAGAAAGTTTATGTCGTGTCGAAGCACGTGTTGGATTTGTCGGACCACAAGAGGCTGCACTACCCTGGGGGCAACCGAGGGGATCTAGTCGGCCCGATCGTCGCCCCCTCGTGGACCAGCGAGCACGTCTGGCAGGAGCAGGCCAAGATCAAGCGTGAGATTTTTCACGAAGCTTTGCTTGATCTTCCGCATTTTTCTCCCCACTGGAGTTGTTACCGTGGAGGGTGGGGGCCGCCTATAGCTCGAGCCAAAATTGCGACGGGGGATGGGTCGGAGGTGAGTTCGAAGTGGAACGGCGAGCCCCCCTCCTACTGCCGGGAAATCGGTTGCGGTTTCGTTGTCGCGCGTGCCGTGCGCGCGGGAATCGCCAAAAAGCTGCGTGGGCCGGCGAGAAATGAATCTCCTGTAGCTGAGGCGCGGCCGGACCGAAAGTCTCCCTTCCGGCAACCGGTGCCCCGCGGTGTCGCGCCGGTGTCCCGCTCGGGGGCCGGTGGCGCGCGGTGTCCCGCTGGTGTCCCGCTGGCGCCCCGTCCGTTTCCCGATGATGATGATGATGATGAGGATGATGATGATGATGGCGATGGTGATGATGATTATTTTGACGATGACGATGATGATGGTGATGATGATGGTGATGATGGTGGTGATGATGATGGTGTCCAGATTATGATGATAATGCTATTGATGATGATGTTGGCGATATTGATGATGGCGACGGGGATCGCGGTGATGATGATGGCGCCCCCATGATGAGTATGATGATGTTGATGATGATGATGTTGCTGATGGTGATGATGGTGTCCCGATGATGATGATGCTGATGATCCTGATGATGTCGATGAAGATCATACGATGATGAGGATGATGGTGTCCTGATGATGGTGATGATGATGATGAGGGTGTGGTTGATGATGCTGCTGATGATGATGATGGTGATGATAATGATGGTGTCACGATGATGATGATGATGCTAATGGTGATGATGACGACGATGGTGTCCCTGTGATGATGATGAGGGGATGATGATGATTTTGATGATGGTGGCCCAATGATGATGATGTTGATGATGGTGATGGTGTCCCGATGATGTGGTTGATGATAATGTTGTAGATGATGATGGTGACGATGATGATGATGGTGTTCCGATGGTGATGATGTTGATGATGATGGTGTTGCTAATGATGCGGATTGTGATGATGATGTCCCGATGATGATGATGATGCTGATGATGCTGTTCATTCCTATACATGATCATGATGATGAAGTGATGATGATGATGGTTTCCCGATGATGCTGATGATGATGATGTTGATGACGTTGATAACGATGATACTGATGATGATGACGACGTTGATTGTGATATCGATTGTGATATCGATAGTTAGACCGAATATGAAATCGTCTGTGAGATCGACGTGAGATCGTCTGTGATTTCGATTGTGAGATCGATAGTCAGATCGATTGTGAGATCGATCGATTGAAATCGATAGAGTTATATCGATTGTGAGATCTACCGAGTGAGATCGATCGAACGAGACCGACAGTGAGATTGATAGTGAGATCAATAGTGAGAGCGATCGAGTGAGACGTTGGTCCCCCCCCCCCGAACCTCCTTATCACCCGAAGGAGGGTGGTCGCATAGGTATTACTATTGAAATGTATCTCCCATTGCTATGCTCGTCCATCCGCCTCCTCCTGGACGCGGTGTGCAGTTTTTTCTGTCGTCTTTGATATTTCCCCACCTAGGCTCTGCCTAGAAGGGTTCTTACCCTGTATGCTTAAAGGGCCGGGCAGTGGAAATCGCCCCGGGCGGTTCCCCCGGCACCCGCCCCGCGGTTCCCCCAGGGCCCCCCGCCTACCTAGCCTAGCCTAGCCTAGCCTAGCCTAGCTTAGCTAAGCTTAGCTTCGCTAGACTTAGCTTAGCAGCATAGCTTAACCTCGAACTTTTATAGAGAATAAACCTCCAGGGGTAATAGAATAGTTCGGCGCCATGGAGCGATAATACAAGTTGCCGGCCAGGGCCATCATATCATGATAATTATGTGAACAGAGGGGCCAAAGCCGAGGATATCTTGAGACATCCTTAGCTTTTGGTCCTCTCTGAAACACCTTCAAAAACAAAATTGGAAATTGCTCGAGCCCTTTTTTAAGGAGGCTGAAGGAACGCGCCGGCTTTCGATATTTCTATGATACAGAACTGAAGCTCGGAGGTGCGCGCGCGCCTCTTAGCTTCACCTCTATTTTATTCACCATTAATAAATCGAAATTTAATTACAAAAGCGAAGTTGGAAAATTATGGGGCGCCTTTAAAGAGGCCGAAGGAACGCGTCAGCTTTTAATATTTTTATAATACGGAACTGAAGCTCGGAGGCGCGCGCGCGCGCGCCTCTGAGCTCCGATTCTATATTATTCGCTACTAATAAACCAACATATAATTCCAAAAACGAAATCGAAAAATTCTGGTGCCCTTTAAGGAGGGCGAAGGAACTTGTCGGGTTTTTATATTTTTTATTATCAAGAACTGAAGCTAAGAAGCGCGCGTGCGCGGTGACCGGGTCACCCGCGCGCGCGCGCCTCCGAGCTTCAACTCTGTATTATAAAAGATACGAAAAGCCGCCGCGTTCCTTCAGCCTCCTGAAAGGGCTCCATAAATATTCAATCTCGTTTTTGGAATCTTGAATGTCGATTTAGTAATGGTGAATAACATAGAAGTGAAGCTCAGTGGGGCGCCGCCGCGCGCGCGGCTGCGCTCTCTGAGCTTCGCTTCTATATTTGAAAATTACAAAAACATTGAAATGGTTTCCTATAGAATTTTGAGCGCATTCCTGTAATTCTTACAGGTCCCCGAAGATTCCTATTATTGGTTCCTATAGAGATTCCTATTGGTTTCTATAGAGATGCCTCATCGTTTGCCTCGTTTTCCCAGGATAATCAACCACAGCGATAGAGAAGTTCAGAGGGGGCAGGGGGAGGAGAAGAAAGATAGAGAGATAAATGGAAAGATATAGAAGAGGAGGTAGAGGAGGAAGAGGAGGAGGAGGAGGAGAAAGGGCAAGAGGAGGAGAGGATAATGAGATACCAAACATCGAAACTTTAAGACTTATTAGATTTGATTTGTAAACGGTGAATTGAAATTAGCATTTTCATTTGCTCGCGTAGGTAGCTCACGCGCCTCGTTTCCCCAAGCTAATCACCCCCAGCGGCAAACAAGTTCAGGGGGGCAGGGGGGGGGGGGATCAGAAATAGTAGAAGAGAGATAGGGAGAGAGAGAAGAGGGGGAAGAAGAGGAATATGACGATCAGGAAGAATAGGACACGCAGAGGGGAAGGAAAAATCCAAAGTTCAAAACTTCTTATATTCAATTTGTAAACGCTTACTGGAAATCAGAAATTTCATCTGCTCGCGAGCTCATCCGCCTCGGTTTCCTTGGATAGTACAGCGCAGTGATAAACAAGTTCAGGGGCCACGGTGAGGAGGAGAAAGAAAGAGAGAGAGACATCCTCGAGTATATGCTTGTTTCGATTGAGGCACCCTCGACAAGTTTTTCGCTTCGCTTGCGACATCCTCAAATAATTGCAGGTTCCGCTTGAGACATCCTTGAAACATTGATCGTTTCGTTTGAGGCCGCCTCCCAAAATTATTGGTTTCGCTTGGGACATCCTGGAAAATAACGCGTTCGTTTCGCTTGGTGATGTTATCTCAACATAAGAAGGAAGTAACCTCGATGGCGGACTTCCCCAGTGATAATAAAGTTCGGCCTCCACGCCCCCCCGCCTAGATTTGAAACCCTACTAGGCCGACGATAATCAACTCTTACATTTGACGGGGAGGGTGCTTGATTATCGTCGTCGTGGGGTTCGATTAGCCTAGCCTTGCTTGGCTTAGCTTTAGCCCTAGCTTAGCATAGTTTAGCTTACCTTAGCCTAGCTTAGCGCAGCATAGCGCAGCGCATCATTAGCACAGTATAGCATAGCGCAGCATCGCATAGCATATCATAGCATAACATAGCACAGCTCAGCATAACATATCGTAGCATAGCATAGCATCGCGCATCATAACATAGCATAGCATAACATAGCATTGCGTAGCATAGCACAGCGCAGCATATCATAGCACAGCACAGCACTTCATAGCATTGCATAGCATAGCGCAGCATAACATATCATAGCGCAGCATCTCATATCATATCATAACATGTCATAGCATAGCATAGCGACTCATAGGTTAGCTTACCTTAGTTTAGCTTTGCTTAGCTTAGCGCAGCAAAGCGCAGCGTGGTATATCCTAGCATAGCCAAGCATATCCTATCATAGCAAAGCATAACATAGCATATCATGCACATCACAAGCAAACCAACTGTGAACGTGTAAATGTAGACGTATATATAGGGTGTAGATGTGGATGTAGGTGTAGATGTAGATGTATATGTAGGTGTAGATGTAGGTGTAGGTGTAGATGTAGATGTGGATGTAGATGTGGATGTGATTATCGCTGTTGATGTTGGTGTAGATGTATGTGTAGATGTAGATGTTGCTTCCCTAGGTGTTCCACCTCCTAGGTAGGGTCGCACTGGGATAATTAGAACCCGTTTGGGAAAAAGAGAAACCGACTTGGTCCTCCTCCCCCTCCTTCTCCCTATCCTCCACCTCTCGCCCTCCTTCTCCTTCCCTTGCACCTCGCCGCTCTTCGTTCTCCTCCTCCCCCCTCTCCTCCTCCTCCTCCCCCCCCCCCCTATCCTCCACCTCCTCATCCTCCTCCTCGCCCAATGTCTCTAGATAGAAAGATAGATTTCGCCTCGACGGCGGGGCGTTGGATCGGCAAGAACGGGAAGATTCTCGTCGGCGGCGCGGGCCCCGATGACGAGGCAGGCAGCAACAAGTGCAAGGACAAGTCGAGGTCCCCCACCGACTTGGAGGCTGTTTTCTTCCACGCGATGCCGTTGGAGTGCGATCAAGAGTGGCACCACTCCTACGACCTGGTCTCAGTGATCAGTCTCGCGAGCGGGCCCTTCAACGACGCGCTCGCGTGCTTGAGGGTGAGGAAGCCGTACTTTGGGATTGCGCTCACAGAGACGCACATCAAGCACGGGATCATGTGGCTCACGAAGCAGGTGTGGAAAGCTTTCATCACGGAAGGGAGCGGGCTCTACGAGCCCGAGCTGGCGGCCATCGTCAAGGAGCACGAGGATGAGGATCATCAGCCGCTGGGAGGCGACGACAACAAGGGCAGCGGTAGCGGCTCCGGGGGCGGCTGTGGCGGCCGCGGCGGCAGCGGCGGCCGCGGCGGCCGCGGCGGCCGCGGCCGCGGGCGCGGCGGTCGCGGCGCGGGGAGTGGTGCAGCAGACGGCGGTGGAGATGATGATGCCGTCGGCGGCGGCGGCGGAGGAGGAGGCCGCGGCGGCGGCCGCGGCGGCGGCTCAGGCCAGTCGAAGGCGGACCTGCTGAAGCGCATCGAGGAGCTCACTGCCGGCGGCGGTGGCGGAGGCGATGATGAGGAGGATGCTGAAGATTGCGACTCGCATTCTGCCGACGGTGACGGCTCGTAGGTTGGCTCGCGCCGCCGGCGGCGCGTAGGTCGGCGGCGCCCAGGTTGGGGCCGGGGGGAGAAGAGGGTTTCTGAAAAGCGTTGTTTTTTTTTACAAGCTCTCGGGGTTTCTAAGCAGCCTTCGGAGGGCTGCTAAGAAGAACCATGTGCGCGCCGCCGACCGAGGATGTTCGCCTGTGCATCGCGCTCTGGATGGTGGCCGCCTCCGCTTGCAGCGAGACGGTGGCCCATTATGTTTTTTTGAGCTCGTGATTTGTGGGCCAAGTCTGGCAACGCACACGCACGCACTGCTGAGGAGAGCGCGGCGAGCGAGTAAGACCCGTGAAGCTTGCTTGTATCTCCTCGATCTTAGTTGAGCTAGCAGCGCGTGCGACGCTGCGTATGCAAGTTCCATCTTCTGGCGATGCATTCGCCGCGCTCAGATAATGCTAGAGGGGCCTGCCTATGAGATCATGGGGCTGTGACGCATAGTGCCTGAGTCCCCAATGCTTTGACAGCGCTGCCCGCAACGCCCATCGCAAGACGTTGAACTCAACACAGCGTCAATAATGGAATCAACCGTAGACACAACACATTACCAACATTGCCCACAGCCGCGGTGGTTTGCCCAAGACATTCCGTGTTCGTGAAAGAAAACCCACAGTTCCAGAGGAGAGCTCCTCGTCCACCCCGCTTCCTCCTCTTCTTACCCGTCAAACAACACACTCAAAACGAGGCTTCCGCCTGAGAGGTCCCAAAAAACACACCCAAAAGGAAGCGCTCGCCTGAGAGGTCCCAAAAAAAACATTCAAAACGAGGCCCCCGCCTGAGAGGTCCCCAAAAAAAACCCAAAGAAATCCAAGAGCCACCCCTCTCATCCCTGCAACTGTCCCAAAAAACCCAAAACACCCAAAGTTCCAGAGGAGAGCTCCTCGTCATCTTCCAGAGGGCGGGTAAGAAGAGGAGGAAGCGGGGGCGGGGGAGTCCCCCTCTGAAACTTTGGGTGTTTTGTGCTTTTTGAGACAGTTACAGGGATGAGAGGGGTTGCTCTTGGATTTCTTTGGGTTTGTTGGGGACCTCTCAAGCGGGGGCCTCGTTTTGAGTGTTTTTTTTGAGGGGGGGCTCTCAGGCGGGAGCGTCGTTTTGGGACCTCCCAAGCGGGAGCACCGTCACGTGGGAGGTTCATGCTCTCCTCCTTCCTTTCCCCTTCTCCCTTTCTTTCCTTCCTCCTCCCTCACCCTCCCTCCTCTCTCTCTCTCTCTCTCTCTCTCTCTCTCTCTCTCTCTCTCTCTCTCTCTCTCTCTATCTCTCTCTCCTCATCTCTCTCTCTCTCTCTCTCTCTCTCTCTCTCTCTCTCCTCATCTCTCTCTCTCTCTCTCTCTTCTCCCTCTCTCCCCCCTCTCTCTCTCTCTCTCTCTCTCTCTCTCTCTGTGCTCTCTCTCTCTCTCTCTCATCTCTCTCTCTCCTCTCTCTCTCTCTCTCTCTCTCTCTCTCTCTCTCGTCTCTCTCTCTCTCTCTCTCATCTCTCCTCTCTCTTCTCTTCTCTCTCTCTCTCTCTCCTCTCTCTCTCGTCATCTCTCTCTCTCTCTCTCTCTCTCTCTCTCTCGCTCTCTCTCTCTCTCTCTCTATTCCTCATCTTCTTCTATCTCGTCTCTCTCTCTCTCTCTCTCTCTCTCTCTGTGCGCCTCTGTGCGCCAGGGGTGAACCCGAGGAGGACCCCGCTTTCTGGCACCTGATGAACATCCGAGCACGGCTCATACCGCGCGCTGCGGCGTGGGCACCAGGTGAGGACCATCAGGACGTGTACTGGGCATGGCTCGAGGACTGCGTCCCGCACATCCTGGCGACGCTCCATCTGCCACAGTACGACCACTTTTTCCAGGAGGATTCCGCGGAGAAAAACGACGCCCTGCGCCACCGCACCGCGTTCGACATGTGCGAGGATATCTGTCACAGAGCGGGCCCCGACAGACAGCGCACCAACCGCAACCTCACTCGTATCCAGGGCAGCCACGAGTACCCCACCCGCTACTTTGGCCTCCTTCTGGAATTCCAGGGCGCTCGTGCCCAGCTCGTCGGCCCTGAGGCTTTCGCGGCACCACTGCCGCCATACCTCTCACGGGCCCACGCCTTGCTGCCAAGAGGCCTCCCTCCGCCCGACCAAGACGCCCTGGCGTATCTCGCGGATGCGATCCTGCACCACCCGCCAGACCTGCAGCCGCTTGTCGAGGCGGAGCTCGCCGCGGCACCGATGGAACCGCTAAACCTACCACCGCCGGCTGGCCCCCTCGCCCAGAACGCCACGTGTGACCAGCCCGCGGCCGACGACGAACCGCTTCTGCTCCAGCACATCGCGGCCTGCGATATCAGCAACATATCCCTGGACTCGTTCCACGTGTCGGACGATAGCCAGAACGACTCCATCCACGACACGGAAACCCAGGATCGCGACGGCACGACACCGCCAGGTGACACGGCCCAGCGCGACCGTGACAGCGAACCCTACACAGGGCGCCCCCTGTCGCACAGCAGTCCGCCCATCAACTCGACCCAGGCCGACCCCAGCGCACAGCTCAGCGACGCCGAAGGCGCCACTGCCGCCGACGAGACAAGCCATTCCACTGCACCGCCAGCTCTCACCAGCCCGCGCAGCGGCGGCTTCAGCCCCGCTGCAGCATTGGCTGGATCTGGGCGTCTTCAGACCTCAGGTGGCAGGACCCCGCCCCGCACCCTTGTCTGTCGAGCTAACGCGACTGTCTCCAACTCCAGCGCCGTCGACCACTGGCAGGCTGGCATCGACAATGACCCCATCGAGGACGCGAGCCCTGACGCCAGCGGCTCCTACGAGGCCCCGCACAGCGCAGCGGCCTCCCGACGCTGCGGCTGTCTCATCTGCCTCTTCGTGGCCACGTATGCCATCGTGGTAGCCATGCCGCACAAGGACCAGATCGACGGGCACCTGCCGACACCGAGCCGAGACCCCAGCTACCGGCAGCGACGACGCCGTGAAGCTGCGGCACCAGGCCCATCCGTGTCCACTACGCCCCGACGCACAACGGCATACGACGCCGCGCCCGCCTTGTGGGGTATTCTCAAGTGGACCCGTGCCAAACTCAGAGACACCGTCTCGGGCGGAGCCAGCGCAGTCGGGTCTGGCCTCTGGGGTGCCCTGAAATGGGCCAGCGGCAAACTCGGAGCTATTGCCACAGGCGGAGTGGTTTGCGGTCTTCTCCTGGTCGGCGCCAAACTTCTCGCTCAAGGAGCCGTCGGACACGTAGGAGCCCGCATCTGTGCGCGCGCCCTGGACTCACCCACGGCCCAGCGGCGCCTCCGCTGTTGCCAACCGATCAGGAGGCCGCGCGATGAGGCTATACACACAATGCCGCGCACGCATCCCGACGACCCCGAGAGCCAGCACGTGCACTCTCTTCGACACCCGCTGCTACAGCAACACTATGCTGCTGCAGTTGCCGCCGCAGTCGCCGAGGTCACCACCGCCACCACCGCCGCCATTGTTGAAGTCACTGCCGCGGTATCGCGAGCCTCGTCTGTCACACCACGGTCGACCAGCCCGTCCCCGAGAGACGGCCCCACAAGCGGCGCGGCCTATGGCAACCCGCCGACTCACGAAGACGCCACAGCTCAGGCCACCGATGCCGAGGCAAGTGAAACACGTGAGCGCACCCTCGACAGGCCGTGGTCCATCTTCCGACATGCAGATGCTCGTGGTTCCTCTTCCGACATGGACACCCAACCACCACGACGGCGAGCACGCTACGCTTCACCCGCCAGGCCCCAGGCGCCTCCAGGCCCTGGTACGCCCCACCCAGCCCTCAGGCCACCGACGCGCAACTTACGCAGCACCATCCAGCGCGACCCAGCGGTCCCCGTGCCGCCGACGAGCATCCTCACCTCCCTGTACCAGAACGGCTTTGCGCTTGGTAACAGTGGCGTGACTACAGAGGACATCAAAGACGCCCTGCGACTCTACGACCATCCTCGATTCACCCATGACCCAACGCTCCAAGCGTTGGCGCCGTGGACTGACATCATGCAGAGGCCCCCGAACCGACTCACTTGGGTGCTGGAAGACTCGGGTGGGAACTCAGGCGAGACGATCTTCCCCTACCTCACGTGGGACCTCCGTGAACCCACCACTGACACGCCCACGGTCTTCTGGCACGGGACCCGCGGCGACCTTGCGGCTCGTCTCGCTTTCAACGGAGGTCACCTCCTGCCGGGCCCCCGCCGTGAAGCGAAGGGTCGAACCGCCACAAATGTCGGCCGCACGTACGTGAGTGTGCACCCGTCGCTGGCCGCGTGGTACGCGGTGCCGCCTCACCCGCCCTGCAGCCTCGAAGACGACACCCTCGCCTGGGGACCCATCGCGCTCTGGATGTGCGAGGCTACCAAACCGCCGCGCGGTGAGAACTGGCACAACTTCGTGAAAGGGGAGGCTCACGGAGCGCGCCTCATCTACCCACGGGTCCTGGGCCTCCTCATCCGCATGGACTGGTGTGCCCCTACCGAAGCTGCCTCCAGGTGCCGTGCCCTCCCACACACATATGGCATGGGCGACTGCGCGCACGCCCTCCACATTGCCGGCTTCGATCACCCAGACCTCCGCGAGGCGGCTGAAGCCCGCGACCAGGAAGCAAACACCTGGCGCCGGCTGGACACCGCGGCAGCGTGGCCACCGCCGCAGGCACTATACTCGCCAGAGGCAGCGCGA